TTAAAAAAAAAAATTTTAAAAGAAAGATATTAACTAATAATTTATTATATAATATATTATTATTATTATCTTTTTAATAAATAATAAGTATTATTTTTTAATTTAAAAGTTTATAATAAGTTTAATAACTTCTTATTTTAAAAATATATAAAAAACTATATAAAAGTATTATACTTTATTACTAGTTAACTTATAAATATTTAAATATAGTATTTAAATTTAAGTTAATATATTTTTTTTAGTTATTAAATATAATAATAATATTTTTTATATTATATAAGTAATTTTAATTAAATATATTTATTATTATATTAATTAAATTAAACTAATAAGTTAAATAATATTAAGTTTATTTATTTTTAGTAATATAAGTATATATATAAAGAGTAAATAATAACTCTATTTAACTAAGTAAAAGATTAAATTCTTTTAAATTATAAAAAATATTAATAACTTAATTAAAAAATTAAATTAACTTAAATAAAAGTAATTAAAATTATAAAGTTTTTATAAAAGTTATATAATAAAAAATATACTTTTTTTAACTTCTTTATATATAATAATAACTTAAGTAAAAATAATATTAGTTAGTAGGTTTAAAATAAAAGGGTTATTATTTATTTTAATTTTAAAAAAAAATTAAATACTTTAATTAAATATTATTACTAAAAATAAAGACTAAGGTTTTAATAATTATTATAAAGAATTTTAAGTTAATATTATATTCTTTATACTTTTTTAGTTTAAAAGATAATAAAGATAAAAAAAGTTACTTTATTATATTTATATTAATTACTATTTTATTATTATTATTATTATTATTAATTAAAGAGCTTTAGTTAGAAATAGTATTAGAGATAATATTAAAGCTATTACTCTTTATATTAAAGCTATTATCTTAAGTACTATCTTAAGTACTATCTTAAGTACTATCTTAAGTACTACCTTAAGTACCTTAAGTATTATTATAAGTATAACTAGAAGATAGCCTTATTATATAGACTAGGTATATTTAAAAGTAATACTATATAGGTAATTAATTAAACTATATTAATAACCTCTTTTTAAAGGTTTATTTAATTAAAGAAATTATTTAGTAACTAATTACTAGATAATTTAGTATTAGGCTTAAAAAATCTATTATTATATAGTAAAATCTCTTATTATTTTATTATTAGATTTATATTTTTAAAAATAAATTAATAGTTAATATATATTATTTTAACTTTTTTATTAATATAAAAAAAAAGCTAAGGATAGGTTTTATATAACTTATAATATATTATTAAATTTATTTTTAAAGAACTTAATAGGTTTTAAAAAAGAGCTAAGTAAAGGACTTATTAGAATCTAATACTTTTAAGTAGCTAAGCTTTTTAAGGGTATTATTATACTATTATTAGGTTTATAATATTAAAAAGCCTTTAATTTTAATATCCTTAAATAATAAGAGTATATTATTTAAAGCCTTATTTACTATTTTTTTAATAAATATACCTTAATTATATTTAATAATTATATAATAAATATTAATTAGGTAACTAATAATTAACTTTAAGTAATTCTTCTAATACTAAATTTAATAAGAATTTTATATATTAATAAACTTATTAAATTTATTTTAAAGAATTAAGGTATATATTATATATATTATAATTTAATTTATAAGATTATTTTTAATAAAAAAACTTATTTTAAAAAGCTTATAAAAAAAATAAATCTATTAGTTAAAAAACTTTATTTTAAAAA